GAGTGTTCCATGAATCAAGCATGCCAGAGCAATATAGTAAAGGAATTTCTGGACCTTATGCAGGATGGACATCAACATTTCAAGAGTTTAATAACATCCATGGAGTGGCTAGAGTAAGCAACCACAATTCAGGAGTAGGTTTGCAAGAATTTCAAAGAATTGGTGTACAAGGAGGTGAAACAGCAGGACCCCCTGTGAAAGGTACACCATGGCATTATGGTCAGGTGGTTGGTCATGGCGTGTTGGGTGCCTCTGCAATGGGGACGCATAAGGACATGCTGGCTGCTCAAGGAGTTTTGTCTCCTGGATATGAAAATACAATGAGAGGGTATCATTTAGGGGTAAATAGGGGTAAAGAAGGGCTAGCTAATGTGCAGAATCCTGAATTATATACAGTTATGCATGTAGGTGGAACAAACATATATCATGCAGGAAGTGAATACCATGGAAATGGATATCATGGAAATAATGGATATCATAGAGGTGGGTATAATGGGGGTAATTATAATGGAGGTGGATATAATCTTGGTGGTTATCATGGTGATGGATATTATGGGGGTGGTTATCATGGAGGTGGCTATCATGGAAGTGGATATTATGGAAGTGGTCATCACAGAGGTGGATCCCATGGAGTTGGATATCATGGAGGTTTAAATCATGGAAACGTATATTATGGAAACAGATATAACAGTGGAGGATACAGCAGAATGAATGGGAACCATGGGATGAATGATTATTATGAAAGTGGGCTCTATAATGATGGGATAACAGAACGTCTTGGCTCTGTCAAGATTGGCGGCTCTTTACAGTGGCCTGTGTCAAATGGAAAAAGCAATAAATTTGATGTAAAAATAGAATCTGATGAGAATAATAAGTATTCAATAATTGAAGAAGCACATTTGAATCAGTACAAACATGATGAAATACAGAATGATGAAGAAGATTCCTCTGCACACATAAATCAGAAACCAAATAAGAATGTAAAATTTTCTGCTTCAGAAATGTTGGAAAATGGAACAGAAGATGCAAACTACAAAGTGGGGGGTAATAATGAAATAACTTTGTTTCCAGAAGGCATACGCAATGAGAGTAATGATACTGAAAATGGAAGATCAGTAATACCCAGTTATGGAGTAGCACAACCTATATCACTAGAGCAGAAAAATGTAATAGATGATGATTTATATAATGCATACAGTAGAAATACTATAAGAAACAACAAAACTGATGATATGAAAAAAGAAATATTAATAAAGTACACCAATCACTCTGAAAAAATGAGTGGGAATACGGAACGAAATACCAGCACAAGTACAAGCAATAAGTTGGTACATGAAACAGATATGTATGTGGCTGTCTATCCATCAACACTGAGTAATAGAGGATTGTATGCCATGCCTTATGCTAGAGGACTTCACATAGACCTTCTGCCTGAACAGACAGCTGCTTTGCATACTGGGAGTAGTATTCAGTTGCCAGGAAGAACTTATGTTGAAGGTGCTCAAACTGAACAAACAGATCTGAAAAGAGGTGACAGTGAGAATCATTACAGCTCAGAACAACAGAATCAACAACATTTAAAAGAGCGAAGACGTCGCTTGGGTTCTGTCACTGAAAAGTTGGTAGGAGTAGGATTAGGACTTGATGGTTATCAATCCAAAGGGAATGCTGATGGGAAATTATGGACTGGATATGACTCACATATGTATGATCACCATGGTGTGGATTTTGGTTATGGGTCAACTCCATTAATGTACCAGCCATGGTACTATGATTATGGTCAATATTATATGTCACCTTACCACAGAGTTCATTCAGATCATGGTTACGATCTGAGGCAGTTTGGAGTGGACGGTTCTGGTTTTGTGACAGTTGATAAAAATTTAGGTCTAAATGGAAAATTAGGAGTTGGTTTATTATGAGGTAATGATTATGTACCATGTCTTCTGTATTAAATTAGTAAATCAGAATGTGTCACAATTCAAAAAAAAATGTTATATCCATCTATTCAGAAGAAGCAACTGCTGTTTGTAATTTGTAAGGTTTCTGAAAATTGTATTATTTTGCAAGAGTGAGGATAAATTAATTATTACTTAACCTAGATGGCCTCAGCACAAGGATGTGTTTGGAAACCATTTAAAATTCTTGTGATAATAGGATATGAAACCAAAATAAGTTAGGTTATGTCATCATACTAAATGTACTTTAAGAATTTACAGAAAATGTCACATTATGGAAATAGAAACACATCTACATGTCCAAGTGTATTAATTACATATATACCTTCTTCTACCATTCATCATAAGATTATTGGGTTTATTTTATAAAGATATAGGCAGGATTCATTGACCTGCATAAATAGAAACAATGCCAGAAGAAAAAGAAGGTGGGCACGATCATAATCAGTAAACAAAATCAATTAATTACTAAAATTAATACATGAGCAATGCTGATGGTATATATTTCGGTTCCCTTTTATCCAAACCTTTCTGTCCTAAATGGAATTTAGCCAAGGAAAGATAAACCAGAGGAGAGGCAAGTTTGACACATGTTTCCCCCTAATATAATCATTGATATGGGAATGAAAGTGCATGATCACTTAGACTAATGTTGCTAAACCTTTCCCTCATGGTGGTACAGTAAAATATGGTTCAGTATCTCATGGCTATAAAATAATGCATTACAAAATTGTGTTTGTGTGTGTTCACATAAATTGTGTTCATATTATTCTTCCTACTTTGGTATACATATCATTTATATAATAGGTATTAATTTCTTCAGAAATTCTCTGTTTTTGTTTATTTGAGTCTTCTGGACATGTCTCAAACACTTTGCTTCTAAAATGGCCCCATAAAATGAAATAACAAACTGATAAATTGGGCGAATGCGCTGGCCAAGAAATGTTGCCATAATGGGAAATTATTCGATGTCCAAACGAAGTCCTTCAAATGTTCATCAACTGCTGAGCAGCTGATTTCTGAAGAAATTAATGCAATATAACCTGCCATGTTACTACACGTAATGGAACGCGTTATAAATCGAGTGCATCACCAATCTTGATGGATGGCATCTGACAGGCGTTACTTTTAAGAAGTAACTTTGTTATAATGTTCCTCAATAATGGCCAACACTTGTCTTTCAAGTCACATTACTTTGAATTATTGTAAATAAACTATAGTCAACTAGGGTATCTTTAAAACTGATGAATGAATGCAAACATCCTTTAACCAGTTATCTATAGTGATCTGTTTGACTAAATCATAGAGGCTATTTTCATATAGAATGTAATGCATATGTGTGTTAATCAATAGTATAACCATTCAAATCATTTAAATTTAAACATTTTCTGCCTCTTGTCATAGGCACACACGCATTTACAATAAATCTTAATAGGTTCATGCACTCTTTACACAAATTACATAAATTAACACACAACGGGAAGCAATTTCTGTTTTATTTTTGAAACAACTCAGTGGATTTTATAAAATTTTGTATTGGGCGTGTAGAGTAAAAGTGTTCATAATAATTTAATTTTTTAATATATGCTAACCCAATATAACCACCAAATTTCATTAAGCTCAAGTAGGTCTTTATCAAATTTATCAAAAATAGCTCCAACAGACTATTTAATGACATAAAATGCAGATAACATTAATATCCACAACCTACTTGCACTTGAATAATTTTCATATATAGTTGATAGCGGAAGTAAAGGCAATTTCTGACTCTCTGAAGTGTGGTAGATACCAGTGTGCCTGGAAATCCTTGTACAATCTGACAGACACAGGGGTAGCATTTGCTTATCTTGATAGGTACATTCTTTGGGAATCAAAGCTCACTTGCACTGTTACTTTATTAGGTATGATAATTATTTATGCATCATTTCTTGAAGAAACGAATTAATGGTCTCAGAGTCCGATACAGTGGTCTCAGGTACCTCTCAGGACGTACAGCAAGATCACCCAAAATTTCTGGGTTTAAGTTAGACTGAGTATTTCCCAGTAATCCTCCTCCTCCTCCAAATATAGATCCTAGTAGACCTCCCCCTCCAAAGTGGCTCCCTAGAAGCCCACTACTGCCGCCACTGCCACCAAGACTGTGACAGTCAAATGCATTTGCTGATGTGTGGTCTGCAGACACTGGATAGGGTGAGCCCTGTATCTGCTGTACTTGCAGAAACACGAGTGTGCGTAATTCTGGGTCCGGGTTCTCACGTCCCATTGCAAGCAAACTGCAAAGTCTCTTCATCTTCTTTTTCTTCAGTTTCTGTAATGTTCGGGAATCAACATCGCTGTTCTCTTCTTCGAATTGCAAACTCACACTTACATGTCCTATGAGAACCTGATTTATCAGCAACACCAGGACAATGAGGACCTACAGAAACCAAAGACACAAAGTTATTCATACCAACTAACTATCTTCATGGACTAGGGTCCTTCTAGAGAAGCTAACAGTAGGTTCAACTAGTCAAGAAATTCACCACATTTTACTGCATGGTATCCGAAGGTTCATTACCATGGTTACTAGAGCCAGTAAAGAGCTGGTCTTTGTCCTGAGCCAAGTGAAATAAATCCACACACTCCAAACCTTATTTCCCTAATGTCCATTTCAATATTATCTTTCCATCTACGACCAGGTAATCCGAGTGGTCTTTTCC